GCATTTCAAGCATCACTTCCCCCGCTGTCTCCCGCCTCAGTCATCTCCTCACCTATAATGAGAAGACAACAGATCAAGGACCTCTCAGTGTATCTTGGCAACAATTATATGAACTAAGCAGACAGGAGAAGGCAGCAATGGAGAAAAGAGAGAGAGGGAGTGTCAGAGAGGGAAGAGGCCTACTGTGCAGAGATAAGATGGTATTCTCCCTTCGTGCAAAATGAGTTCATTAGGGGAGTGAGAGACAGTCGTCGCAGGGAACCGAGCTCCTTGTGCGATAAAGGGTGGCAGCGACGGGCTGCAGGGAAAAAAGAGTTTCATTTCCTGTTCTTCAGAGCAGCGGCAGTATCAGGGGATCAGCGAGAGGCCGGCGGGAGGAGAGGAAGAATGGAGCGACGGGGACGGACAGACGGAGCAAGTTAGAGATGTAAATGCCAGTATTTTCTGTCAGGCACAAAACGGGTGACCTGCCGGATCGCTGTCAAAGAACCTTCATATCGAGAACTGAGGGAGGCAGACAGACAGAGAGTTAAAGGATATGTCAAACTCTGAGAAGTGGAAAGTCTAAGTGAACTGCTGCCATGAAGCATTCGGGTTATCTCGGTGCAAATGTGGTCCTATGAGGGTTTGAAACTGACAGCAGCCATAGAGGCAGCTGAGGGAAAGTGCAGCTCCATAGATGCTCACAAACACAGAGCCCAGACTGGCCGGCTCGAATTAATATCAGAAAGAGGAAAATAGGAAGATATGAGAGCTGGAAAGAGATGAAATGAGCTGGGGGTCTTGATAGACACCTGATAGTGAGGAGGCTGGCAGACGCTGAGATGACAGGTACAGCAGAGGTGGAGGGACACGCTGGCTGCGCCGCGCTCTTTAATATAGATCTGCAGCGATAAGGCGCGGCGGAGAACACAGGAAACGTCCATCAGTCAGGCAAGGGGAGTTCAGAGGAAATTGCCACAATAAAGCTGACTCTCACATATAGAGCAGCGCCGGCTCTCGGGCCGCTGTCTGGATGCACACATGATGATGTGCACATCCAGGAGCTGCAATCACAACCAAACACTCAGAGGTTCGCTTCCAGCCAGACAGATAGAACTGCTCGCGGAAAGTAGAACACAGTGGCATAATGACACGTCTAAAGGTTCTCCTCCTACCAGGACGTGCTGCACTCATTGGCTGCTGGTCGTCCTACAGCAGCTCAGATGGTGACCCGAGGCCCGTCTTCTCTCTGTCTGCGTGCTAGCTACAGCTGCTGATTTCAGTTACAGGATTAATCAGCGATGACAAGGACCGGCGCGTTGTGCACAGCTGGACCAGCAGACACATACAGGCTGCTGAAGGGTTCAGGCAGCCGGCATCTACAGAGGCTCAGAGCAACATGACTGTAGCTCTGCCGGGCCTGTGATCAGGAAGAGACTCACTTCTGTGTAGATGAGCTGAGTCACAACACAGACGCTATGCGACGTTTCATAGTCTTGGAACAAGTCATTGCTTTAGTGTCGCTTTGTTTCCTTCTACAAACATGGCGACACTAACAGCGACACACAAAACAGCCTCACAAGGAGCCTCACGTCCTCCAGCATTACTGCAACCTGGATCAGAACCTCATCTGTGCTTCAGAGCTGCTTCTTCTCGTTTTGATCCAGCAGTCTTGAAGTTCAGCATTTTAAAATAGCCACCTCTTTAAAGGGATTCACTTCAGCACATTGTGGTGCATTAATGTTCAAATTCATTTAACTGACCTGGAGCTGCCACTAAACACCAGTACTTGGTGAACATGCTGTCTAATGTGGACCTGTTATGGTACCTGATATAAAACCACCACGATGGTTTTGGTACTCATGGCTTGTTTGCAGGTCTTAAATGTCTGCTGGGAGTCTCACCCTGACCAGTGGGGAGACTGAGGTCCATTGAGCCAAAACATTGGGATGTTGAGTGTTCATTGTCTGCTGGATCTTTTGGTTGGTTATTTTAGAGCTGCTTCAGAAAGTACTCGGATACTTTCACTTGTAATATACTGTGTTGTGATTTTGCTGGTAATCTATACCCAGTAACCACATAATGATGAAGCCTGTTTCTAAAAAATGCTGAAAGTCAATTAAAAGTATGAACATGATTAATTCAGCACTTTGTATACGCCTCCTTTGTAACCATTAAAGCTTAAAGTCTGTGCAAACCTGGATTTGGGCAGTTTTCTCCTTCACAGAACCTCTCACGATTCTTTAAATTGGATGGAATGTATCTGAACCGCCATCTCCAGGTCTCTCCACACATCCTGGATTTCAGCTGGACTTTGGCAAGGCCACTGAAGGACAATCCTCTCCAGCATTGTCTTGGCTCTAAGTTTCGGTCCAGTGTCGGCCTGAAGAAGGACTAGTGTGCCAGTCTCAGCTGGTGTGCACTCTCGTTTTCTTTAAGGACCTCTCTGTATCTGGCTGAACTCCTTCTCCCTTCATGTCTGGCAAACTTCCCTGTCTGATGCTGGGCAACACCCCCATAGCATGATGCTGCCACCACCGTGCTTCACTGTGGTGATGCTTCAGACCACATGATGAGCAGTGGTTGCTGTTCTGCCCAAATATTCAAGTTTTTCAAAAACCTTTAAATGCCGTTTGGCAAACTCCAAGCAGGCCGTCCTGTGCCTTTTACTCAGAGTAGCTTCAGTGTAGCTGCTTTGCCATGCAGGCCTGGTAGATGGAGAGCTGGTGAGATGGTGGTTCTTCTGGTAGGTTGTCCCACTTCTGCAGCTCTGTCAGAGTGACTGTAGGTTCTTGGTGACCATCCTGACCAAGGCCCTTCTTGGCCAACTTTGTCTGTTTCACAGGTATTGAGGCCACTGGGCCCTTTAGAAACAGATTCATACCGTTGTCCATACCTACGTCAGGTTCATCACAGAGGCCTCCAAAAAGTTTGGGGTACTTCACAACTTAGTTTTTGCAATCTAGTGTGGAACCTTTATATAAACAGATTCGTCACTTTCTAAAATGCATCCAATCACATGTGGATGATAATCAGGTCCTAGACATCAACGGGCAGACCCTGACTATGATGTGGAGTACCACCCCCAAGTCTTTGAATTTTGTGAACTGAAAGGGCTGTTTGTGCAAACACATCTTCTGGTTGGTCTGAAGATAATTATCAGTGCTGTATGATACAACAGTATGTACTCCTTTATAATACAGGCCTAAGTAAGTGTCCCCTTGCATTTTTTAAATCTCAGTGAAACAGAAAACGACTAGACAGACAATTGTTAAAGCAATGCAGCTCTGATCAGAACTCTTCTGCTGTTTAGGACTGAGGGTGTGATACAGGGACAGCTGTAGATCTGGTTTTAGATTCACATCTAAATGTGACATTAATCATGTTTAGATGTGTCTCTGTGGAGCTGCCAGTTAATAACAGACATTCACTGTGAACACTGTTGTATCCAAGTGTGATGAGCTTTTATACAAGACCGACAACTGCACAAAACAATCAGACGACAGCTTGTTTATCTCCATATATCTTTATTGTGTTATTACCCATATATTTATATATCTTTATTTTATACAGGTGTATTTCTCAATACAGTCTTTTATGAACATACACAGATCTTACATGAGCTGAGAGGTACGAGAGAGAGACAGAGAGGCAAGAAGGACTCGAGTTTCTTCATAAGATATTTTGGCATTTAACAGGACAACAGATCACAGCACAGACACACACACAGGAAGTACAGTACACACACCACGGCATGCACACACACAGCGCCGAACACCTCTAAACCAACGTGCACACACACACGCACGCACGCACACACACACACTCACACACACGCACACACACAGTGACATTCACACAAGTACTACACACACACGTCCATGGAGGAAGGAGGAAGGTATTCACAGGATAGATCACACCGATACCAGACTAGCAGATACACATGGAGATGTACAGTACTCGCCATATTTTAACTCCTGCTCCGACACACACACACACACACCGATACTCTCAGAAACACACACGCACAAGTTTTTGGTAGAAAGTAAAGAGCGGTTTTCAGACTGTGATACTGATGATGTTATTAGCTCTGATCCATATTTGGCTTCTATTACTGAGATGAACGAGGACCGTCAGCACTACGTTGTCATGGCTGAAGTGTGAGGAAAGACAGAATGACAGCACTGGTACGCTAGAAAATAAATACATGTCTTATATTGCAGTTATAGAATGAATACACGTGGGTAGTTCTGTCTGCGGATCTTTTTCCACTGGAGTCACAACAGTCTGTCCTCCACACGCACACACTCACACACATTCATGTCACTAGCAGACAGAGCTTCACAGTGTAGGGACCTCATTGCAAATCTGCCGTTCGTCCAAGATGCCACCGAATAAACACAGGCTGACAGTCAGCACAACATAACAACACTAACGATGTGAAACATCTCAGAGAGAAGAACAGAACAGATATCGTATATTTGGCTTCAGTAACAGATGTAAAGGATACCTGAATCGTGCTACATATTAGAATGCATAACTTCTAACAGCATAATATGAAAATACAACCGTGAACAGCAACAGTGACTGGAGTGGAGTTACCTGGCCTCCTCGGAGTTCATTGTGCAGCAACTTTGAGTGCATGTTTGTCTGCATGAGCACGGATTGTGTCATAACGTAAACTGGACGTCTGCCGTGCACACAGTGCTGCTCTCCTGGTGCAGGTAAACCACATAAACCAATAGATCGGAAGTCCAGCGCACACCAGGGTACTGACACTGAGATTAATTAGTTGATTAGAAAACTGAAAGGATGTACTGTAGGTACTTTATACAAACGTATAAAATAGGTGTTACAGCTGGATAATCTGAAGAGAACGCTGGTCACTGAATGACTGGGGGAGTGAGACAACAATCTGAAGATGGCACTAAAAATACTGAAACCAAACTCTGAGTTTGCAAGTAGAATCACAGAAATCCTTCAAACTGAAGCAGCATGAGAAACCAAATCAGATTGAGCTAAAAAAAAATAAAAAGATAAAAAAGCCACTGCAGCCTGGCTCTACCTAAGTCCATCCCCAGTTTCTAGATCTTAGTGGGTGAGAGAAGTGTGAGTGTAGGAGACGTATGAAAAGAGGCAAAGACGGTGAAAGGTAGCCCCCTTGTCCTGTAGTTCTGCAGTGTGCCCAGAAGAGGGCGCTCCAGCCAGCGAGCGTGGCCCATCCTGTAGGTCAGCGCTGGTCAGACTGCGTTGGTCACAATGAAGTCTCTGTGGTTGTCGCTGCTCGGCTCCGGAGTGATGCTCTTTAACAGGCGCTGCGATGAAAAGACAGACAGGAGGGAAGAGAGTGAGTCCTGGTGATAAATAAACACCTGCTTGATTGGTGACAGGAATTCAGCCTCTGAGCACATACGGTACTGCTTTGCCACGAAAGCCAGAACCAACGGCTTAATTAGGCGACATGGACCCACGATCCCTTTGACCATCTGTGAACTAAAACGCAGCGTTCAAGGACTGATGCAGACGAGTGTATTTAAGATGTTTCATGCAACCACATAATGTCCACACATAGCAGCTATGTGGACTGGGGGTACCGTCTCAAAATAATCATTAGTCTAATAACTGTTTTGAGATCTCAATCCATTTTTTGTCTATAAAATAGTGACATTTTCCAGATCTTAGAATGACACGATGTTTTGTTTTGTCTAGACGACTGAAGAGGACGGCACCAACTGATTTTTGCATTTTTGCTTAAAATCATACATTTATCAAAATTGCTGCAGATTTTTTTCCCATAGAAAAGTAGTCATTCAGACTCATTTCCAACAGTCCTGATCTAAACCTCGTCTTCAGCCCTACAGAGACGACAAACGTTAGAAATGACAAACACACAACCAGCCGCTTCGTTACAGACGTGTTTTGAGCGGCCTGGCCTTTTGAACTCCTCGTCCTCCTGCGTTACATAGCTGCTGCCTCCCTTCACACTCACTGCGTTTGTTGACTTGTGTCGCTCTCATTGTGTGTCCTGGCAGCAGAGTCAACACTGGACGGCAGCCAGAGGAGCTCTGTCTATCAGCCTCTTTGATGTCCGCCACCCTTCTGTCAACCCTCACACAGGGTGCATCGAGATGGTAATAATAGTGATGAAAATGACTGCAGACGCTTGTGTTTGGATTTATTACGTAAGTTACAGGACAATACACAACAACGAGCAATTATTAGCAGGAATTAGAAATGCGCACGTGTCTCATGAATGCTATTTAGGAGACATTTTTATCAGTGACGATGGTTTAGGGAGTTGTTCAGACTGTGATTGGATGCGAACGTCTTCAGCAGAATGTGGATGTGACTGCTTTATGTGTCTATTCTAACTGTTGTCACGGCTCTTTCTCCTCGTTGATCTCTGGCCAGTGCTCCTTCTCACTCCTTTGATCCTGATCTGTGTCACAGGAGACAGCAGATGGAAAGGAGAGGCCCAGAGGCAGTCCCTGTTGTTGGACACTTGTCAGTTAGAGAACAAAGGTCAGGAGATGATCGGGGAGAGGACGAGGAGGAGGAGGAGGAGGACAGAGTGAGAAGGTTTGTGGGGAGAGCATTTAGGAGATGAGAATAAGAGAAAAATTCTGTACCTGTTTGAATGTACCCTTGGCGTTAAGCAAGTGGTAGACCATGTAAGCAGGCACACAGATGAAGGAAGACACGCCGATGCAGTAGCCCAGGACGGTGGTCCACGGAGGGTACTGGTAGTGGAACAACCTGACCTCTGGGGGGAAGGCCAGGAAACTGATGATGATGAACTGAGCGTGGGAATCAGAGCAAAGCAGAGGTCAGACACAACAAGAATCAGACGTCAGGGGAAACACGACAAGCTGCGTCTGCACCCTCCCAGTGTTTGTGTGTAGATGGTGCACATGGGACTGACCAGTAGGAAGCAGGGGCAGATGGCCACCCAGCAGACCCTCCAAAAACAACCCGGGGCGAACCCCAGCATCACCTGGACGTCATTACAGAATCGGTTGGTGCCTAGAACACACAGAAACACAAAGGAGCTCGTCTTCATCTCACGTCACTGCTGTCTGATTAAAACTACACTGAGGAAACAGACAAAGAGTCGAGGAGTCTGATGCACCATCACACCACAGTTCAGCTCTGGGCCCCATAGCTTCCTGTCACGTTTAGAACAAGCATCACTCACCGTAGAACCAGGAAACAGCGATGACCTCGAGCAGCACCACGGTGATGACTGCAGGGCCGGTGGCGTACTCCTCAAACAGCTTCACCACAAACGCTCCTCCCTGACACACACACAGGGAATCATTCATGAAAAGCTCATTTTAATTACTCTTGTGCAACAGGTTTCTTGTCTAAGACAATGATTGTTTAACACCCGTGCTAGTCCCACCTTACTATAATGAAGGCTGCAGATAAACGGATTACTGTGGCTGCTCTAATCTCATTTAAGCTAATTGTTAACTGCAGCGATTACACCAACCAAAACACAGCAGTGTAATTAAAGCTATTCTTACTGACTTCAAGTATGATGTCAATTTGATTAAAGTAAAAACCTTTGACAAGTAACATCTTATGCAAATGCAGCTGTTGAAAATCCGCTCGAGTGCATATTTTGAAACCGAAATAAACAAACTAATATTTTGAAGATTGCAGTGTTGAACTTTATCATTGCTATTGACTGTAGCAGAGAACATCACCAACCACAGTTTAATCAATTATGGCCTTTCTAAAAGTAACCTGCATGCACTGAACTCACATATGTGAGTGTGGAGAGGGCGCCCAGGTAGCAGACACACACAAGGCCGAAGACAAACCACTCCCGCCTCTTCGACAGGACATGAGGGAACTCATCGAGCATAGCTGTGATTACTCCTTCCAGCCCTGCAAACTGGAGAAGAGAAGAACAAGAGCAAGAAGACAAAACAGACAAGAAGAGGATCAAAGGGTGCACGAGGAAATAAAGATGTGGAGATAAGTACAGGACAAGTTCAGGCCTCCTATCTTGATCACATATACTGTACGAATGATTTCTTATCTCCATGTGAAGAACCAGCAGTCAATGATTGATCTAATAAAACCAGCACTACTGTCACATGTCAGCAATCCATACAACCACTAATAATACAGCTCCAAACCTTCGGTACCAAACAGGTCCAACATGAATTCAGGGACACCAACAGGTTTTGGAGTAATATCCTCAGTCATAAAACGGAGGCGCATAGCAACCCTGATGCTGATTCTACAGCGATAATCAGGCTGTGATAACAGCCTTACAGGTCTCTCCAGCTGGCTGCCTCAGAGCAGATAAACAAAGACCACCACACAACAGCGATATGAAACTCCAGCACATTGTTTTCACTGACTGGTATTCAAAATGGAACAGAGAGGACAAATAATACCAGGCGCCTTAATGGAGAAGCAGGCAAACACAGGTCCAGGAGAATGAGGCATTTGTGTGAATAACAAGAGATCACATATCAAAGCTCTGCTTCTAGGTTAGACAGAGCACACAACAGTTGAGAGCTGGGCAACAACAAAATCAGGGAAAAGAGGATGAAAAGAGGACATGAAGATATAAAGAGCAGTGAGCCAACTCACCGTGCTATCCAGACCCAGCATGATGATCATGAGGAAGAAGATGATGGCAAAGAAGGTGGCAGCAGGCATGTTGGCTATGGCTTCTGCATAGATGATGAACAGCAGACTGGGACCTGGAAGGGAAAGCAACAAGACTTCAGGATTCATGCTGAATATATCCTTAGAGCTGTGTATTTTTGTAAACCTCAACCAGTTTCAAGCTCAGAACCACAGAGCAGGAGCTTCCTCCGACCCTCTGTGACCTGAACTGGGATGTTTATATGATGTCAAGGCTTCCCCTGACTGTATTCTCTGTCCTTCCCAGGTGACATGCATCTGGGGTGAATATGTCTCCGACAAAGTAAGCTTGGATGAAGACGTTATTGCTGAGGACTGTGTTGGTACTCACCTGCATCCTTGGCCACAGCATCCACACTCTGCTGCCTCATCTCAGCCATGTAGCCCAGCACGGTGAAGATGACGAAGCCAGACAGGAAGCTGGTCAGACAGTTCACGGAGCTGGTGACCAACGCATCCCTAAGAGGAGAAGGTTTGGAGGGTAGAAACAGGAGGATGGTCTGTGAACCTCTGCACAGACTAGTCGACGGTTCTGCAGATAATCTCAGAGCTCCGGTATGACGTGTGTTCTTACTTGTAGCAGTTGTTGTGAAATGGGTTGTAGCTGGCAAAGGCGAGAAGAACACCGAAGCCCGGACCCAGAGAGAAGAATATCTGAGCCGCTGCATCAATCCACACCTTTAAGAGTTTAAAGGATCGATAATGGTGAATAATGAAGAAAGACATGGGGATTTAGAAAACAGTGAGGTCAAAGACAGAGAGCTGGATCTGATCTGCATGAAGACATCAAGGTGGGGATCAGAAAGGGATGGAGACTGCCTGGCTGCTGACTTACTGTCGTGCTCAGCAGCTTCTCCCAGTCCGGTTTGAGATAGAAGACGACGCCCCTCCAGGCTCCTGGCAGCGTGGCCCCACGGACCAGCAGGACCACGAGGACCAGGTAGGGAAAGGTGGCGGTCACCCACACTACCTAAAACAGAACAAACACACGGGGTTGTTTTGTTCCAGGCAGCCGTGGAGGCAGTGGTCTGCTCATGCTCGGTAAAAACACCTTATTGTGGTGAAAACCTGTTGTTTTTCTTTCCTCTGCTGCACATTTGATCATTATTTAGGTTATTTTACTTTGTTGGGATTTTACAATACAAGCACGGATATGAAACTGAGAAATGACATGAAGTACTGGTTACCAGCATGAATCGTCTATTTAAAAAAAATAAAATAAAAAAACTGCATTCAGTTTCTGGTGGATATTGTTTTAGGTTATAGACGTTCCTTTAATGCTGTATTATGTTGTTCTGGTGATTGGTGGAGAATGTGGCACAAGACAACCTCACATGTAAACGTACAACATAAAGTGTTATCAGATCATAACAGCAGTGAACGGACTTTCCTCTAAAACATCGAGGCATGTATCGTTCCATTTTCTCTTTTTTATTGCTTATTCTTTCTATGATTATTTTATTAACTTTTAGCAAAAGAACAGTACATCCAATAAAACGCTTCCTCCTCTTTGTGCTAACGTTAACTCTGATGTTAATGCTTTGATTGTTAAGCTTCGAACCACAAGCTGTTTAACTTCAGACCTTCTAACCAACTTTTCTGCGCTCGATGATGAACGATAACGAGGCTAGAGAGATGACAGGAGAAGCTCTGCACCGCATCCATCCATCCGCTCTAACTGACACCCCATCAGCCATGCAGGCGCCCCTCCAGGTACCTTCCCAGACGTCTTGACTCCTTTCCAGATACTGAAGTAGACGATGGTGAAGATGAAGAGCAGACAGAGGGCCAGTTGCCAGCTGACAGAGCCCAGCTGGTGCAGACCTGGGGAGAGGTGGACCTGCAACACCTGGCGGCTGGAGACACAAGAACAAGGTTAAGAGTTCAGGTCGAAGCAGATGCAACACGGGGAGGTGAGGAACAGAATGGAGATCAGTGAAAGTGCACTGACGGAGATGGGAGAGGAATGGTGACCAGGGAGAAGTGAAAGAGGAGGGAATGGAGAAGGTGGAGATAACACAGGACGGTGACAGGAAAGAATAATAACAAGTGATGGAGAAGATAAGACAATACAAGAAGAGATCAGACGAATATATAGAAATCATACAGAAAGAAACAAGTAAAAAAAAGAAAAGGTACAACTAAGGGGAGAAAAATAAAGATAGACGGGGCGTGAGAGGAGACACTAACAAATGATAGAATGTATAGAATAACTTTATATAAATAAAACCCAAAGGGAGTGTCAGAGAAACATGCACAGAATAAACAAGCACTAACGGGAAGTCGATCTAAAGGGAAACGAGCAGATATAAAAACTACATCAGAGGGCCGTAACAGCAACAAGCCTCAGTGAAAAGAAAAAAGGAGCTTTCCAGGGAAAAAAAAAAGGAGTCCGATATGAACAGTAAGGTCGACATGTGGTCACAGGTTATGCACACACAGCTCCGATGATAAAACAGACGTGATTTATGCTGAAAACAGGAAATTCTGGCGCCAGACTGAGTCGAGGAATTTGTTACTTTAAATCTGTATTAGGAAAAGTGAACTACGGACAAACCCTGAATCTGTCTGAGCGGACGGACGCAGAGCAGCTGATTAGACCCACGCAGTCGGAATAACAAGACGCTGTCTGGAGGAAATCTGCCTCAAGTTCACTGAAAATACAGACGGTTTGTTATGATTCGTGATTTAATTATGAAGAGACTCAGTTTTGTTTCCGATACTCCAGGAGCGTCATTTATTACTTTTACACACTTCAGTTCTTACACAAAGTGATTTCTCTGACCCTTACATGCCTCCACATATTAAACTGATCCATTCCTCAGTAGTTTTAACCTGACAACTTCTGACTGAAATGTCTCCGGTGATGCAGAGATGCTGATAAATCTAAAACCCAAGAAGCTCCCTCTCGAAGCCCCCCCGACTCCTTCTCCTGACTCCTCTCTACCGTGAAGCGCCCCCCTACGCCTCCACATCCGACTTACATGCACTTACGTATAGAACTCCTCGGCAGGAGACGTGGAGGAGTTGGACCAGGACACGTTGTGGTCGGAGGACATGTAGCGGTTACAGTTGGCCGTGTTCCAGCTGTTGGTGCAGGTGGTCCAGGGCAGCGTGGGCTGGAACGACGAGATCAGGTAGTACAGGGCCCAGGCCATGATGGTGTTGTAGTAGAAGGCTATGTAGAGGGCTATGATGCAGATGGCAAAGCCGATCCCTGGATGAGTGGAAAAGATTTGTTAGAATATGAGTTAAGAACCACTATAACATGATCTGTGAAGAGCTGTGCAGTGTGACATCAGTCAGCCGGAGACATCAGGGATGTTTTCAAGCTAATTCAAGTTCCTCCTCAGGACGTGGTGACATTTTCTAACAACAACAATTTACATACTATCACAGTTCTGAGCATCTGGCATTTGGCATGGAAATGTGACGATTTCCATAACAGAGAGTCACTACATCTCAGTTGATACACAAGAAACTCGGGTTGTCTTGGTCGGAGCTGCATGGAGGAGGGCAGGGAGGTGGAATGAGCTGTCTCTCAGACTCTGAAGGTTCGACACCGTGCTTCCTCGTCTTCTTTGTTCTCCTACTGACAGTTTTCCTGTTCCCTCCTCTCCGGTTCCTTCCCGTTTCTTGTCCAAGATATTGCTACTGACTCTCCCCACTCCTAGTTACCTTTGAAGATGGGGCAGATGTGCTTCCAGATGGAGATGCAGCCACTGCGGTGAAACTGGCCTAAAGCCAGCTCCATGTAGAACAGAGGCACACCGCCGAACACCGCCATCAGCAGGTAGGGCAGCAAAAAGGCACCTGAGCAGAGACAGCAGGGAAGTTTGGAAAGGAGAGGAGATGATTAAAAGAGCAGCAGGGGGATGAAAGAAAGAAATACAAAGAGAGGAAGAGCAAGAGAGAAAGAAAGAGTTATGGAAGAACAGTAAAAAGCCAATTACCCTCCTGAGGAACTCTCTCACACCATCTGGTACCTCAGTAGTCTCCTCAATAACTCACAACAACAGAAGACCATTCAGAGCACTCTGTAAAAATCATTAAATATTGTAATAGCCTCATCATTTACACAGCCTCAGTCCATTCAACGTCAACAAGGCATGTTCTCCCAGGTTCACATCGCTCTGCCTTTAATGTGGTCTGTGGGAACACAGTTAGACTCATTGTTTAAACTCTAAGATGAGTTATAGCTGCTCTGATGTTGGCTCTGCTACTGCAAAGTAAGGAGAGTGTGAAAGTAAAACAATTAGAAGAAGGCTGTTCACAGAGGAGCAGCCAAATATGTGAAGTCTAGCTTAAAGAGCAGCGTTTGATAACACATCTCTGTGCTTATCTGATCCTAAACTTATTTAATGTGCCTGTGGGCAGCATGCTGTGTATACATGCGGCTGCTGCCTCTTTGTGACATGAAAGCAGAGATAAGGGCTGATTGAGCAGCTGCCTGGGAGACAGGTTATTAAGCAAGGAGAAAGAGACTGAAGGCGCTCTCATAAGAACCACAATTAATACTGTCGCCTCTATCAAGTGTCTCCTGCCTCCATCTCTACCTCGCTCTGCCACACACACAGAACACAGGAAATTGCAAAGATTTTATTATTGCAAATTCAATAAAAAAAAGGGAGGCCCTGTTTGCCGCTAGGTGAGCACAGCGGTCCACAGACATACATGCATGGAGCTGTTGTACCTGAGACTGAGAAAGAAATGAGCAAAAACCCCTAAACTGTCCATGAACATCCTGCTAACTGTGGTGCTCCGTGGAGGTCCCTGGAGATGTGTTTTCCAGAAATGATAATATCTTACCAATAGCTTATAGATATAAGATAATACAATGATAACAATGGAAGGCTCTGCTTCTTGTACTGTGAATCATAGAAGACGATGCAAACCACAGAAGAACTTTTTCTTTTTCTTCTGATTCTTTAAAACCTGTCTGTTCCAGTGTGTGATCTTCCACCTCACCCTTCACCTCCCTGTCCCCCCTTCACACCATCCTCTCCTCCAAACAGCTTGCCTCACCTCCTCCATTCTGGTAGCAGATGTACGGGAAGCGCCACACGTTTCCCAGGTCCACAGCATAGCCGATCACAGACAGCAGGAAGTCCATCTTCTTGCTCCAGGTCTCTCTGGGCCTCTCCAGGCTGGTTTGTTGGACCACCAGGGTTCTCAGGCCTCCTAGTGGAGCCAAGGATCCAGTGCCCCCTCCAGGACCAGTGGTTGCACCCACAGCACAGGCAGCGGTCCCCGGACCCTCCCTGGGGCTCTGGGGGGAGGACGTGGTGAAGCCATTGGACACCTGCTGGCCAGAGCCCGAGGTCAGGCTCTTGGGTCCTCTGTCTGCGAGGCCGTCAGCCAGCATCAGTCGGCCATTTTCCTGCTGCGTGCCCTCCTCTGCTCCCCTCACCTCCTCCCTCCCTTTGTCCCTCTCCTCCTCGTTCTCCCCCTTGTCCATTGTCAGCATGCTCATCATCTTATCTTTTGTCTCCATTGGGTTGGGTGATGTTGGTGTTGGCAAGGCGGTTAGGGGTGGAGAGAGGTTCTCAGTGACGAAGGGAATGTGGCGCTGCTGTCTGATATGGTGCCCATCAGGGGAACAGAGGGGTTAGGAGAGAGGCAGCGCTGCCGTCGGCTGTAGCACGAGTCTGGGAAAAGACAAGACTGTCGTGGTTGCACAGGTAAAGGAGTCGGGCAACAGGAGAGCAGAGCTACAGGGAGGAAATGGGGCCAGAATGAGGGGAGGTGTGCACAGGACTGTTGAGCAACAGGCAGCAGGACAGACGGAGGAGGGTGCACAGGAGCAGAGATGTGTTTGAACAGGATGTGGCGAGCAGAAGAGCTGCAAGAATCTTGGATCTTCTCCACAAACAGCTCGTCCTCTGAGACGCTGGGTGATGGAGCAAACTGCAACACACGGATAGGTCAAAGAAAGGGGTTTTAATTACTGTTAATTACATCACATCAGTCTGTCCACGCAGCATAAATATCTAAATTATCACAATGAAAAACAGTAGAGACAGACGGGATCTAACATGTTTCAGCTACAGCTTTTTATTTATTTTACATTTAAACAAATAAGCAGCTAAATCCTGGGAACGGGACGGATTGAGGTGATTGTGCTGAAACATGTCGATTCACTCGCTGTAGCCGTTTCCTTGTGTTTCTCATTTTATGCTATCAGTTGCGTAACCTGTTTTGGTGCTTATCTGATCAAAGCTGTATAATGGGGATGAATTAGAGGATATACACAAGCACAGACAGCATTTATCAAAGTAGGAAACAGCAGAAAACCTCAAAAGAAAAGAAAAAAAAATGCTTCTGTGGACATTTGCTAAAAAAGTTGTGATGGTCGCCACAAAGACCCGACATCAGCCGGAGCTGTGGCTCAACGGGTCGAGTCTCGGTCGTGCTGGCAGCGACACGCACAAACGTTTAGCAGGAAAAAATACTGAGCCGACTGTCTGAAGTGAAAGAAAGTATAGACAGAGTAAAGTACAGAGAGAAAGCAGGGTATCTCTGCCTTTTACTTCCTCATTTAAATCACTTGATAAACTAAACAGAATTCCAGAGCAAATATAAGACACAGATAAATGTGCTTCAAGCTTGATATTGTTTTAACTCAAAGTACAAACTGTCCTGCAGATGCATCACATGGCTCTTTCACTGATTTTAAATTCAGCAAGGTAGAAAGTTATTGTAGATTTATATTTTCATTAATAAATTAAACCCACAGTGAGGCCGTTCAGTTTTTAAAAGGAAATATTTCGGATTCAATCCAAAACTCTATCACAGGAGAAACAGGTCAAACTAAGAGATCCATGCTGACGCCGTTAACAGCGTTAGCTCAATTAGTGATGAATGCACGAATGTAGGAAGACTCGTTTACATGGACTCTGTTATCTTAATGAAGAACTAGTGGTCAGCAGTTCTGCACCATTTTTCCTCCCCACAAACATCTGACTTCTGACCGAGACCCCGTCCTGGAGCTGCACTAACCCTCCACCCAACACAAACTGTTGTTTTTCATACAAACCACATTTCTTCTTCCTGATGAAACCAACTCCTATTTCTCATCACGACAATTTCCATCTGACTCCTCAAAGTCTTTCACTTTGTGCTTCTTCTCGTATGAGACAAACATTTTAAGGATCCATTCAGGAACTTGAGAGAAATCAGATGATTTCTTTAGCAGCAGCTTAAAAATGAGAGGATGAAGTGAATTGTGTTTTAATTTTAAATTTTAAAAAGGTAATTAAAGAATGTGATGTCTTTGGCTAAACTTCACTCAGTTATCCATCAAGCAAACATCAGCCGTCGCACAGAAAAACTGTAAATGACTGAAGTGCTACATTTGACTCTTAATCAGTAGCTGAAAAAATACACTCAAAATTAAAATTTAAATGAGGTTTGAAATAGATTTTTTCATTTTCTGTTACTAACGAAAAATTAACTTTACAGAACAACAGCGTGGATAAACTTTCACTGCATTAGTAAATATATTTAACTGGTGTCTCTTTGTTTAATAAAGAAAGAGCCACCAGATGATAACATCAAGATTTCAGCAATGATAGACTGAAGGAACATGAGGAGTGAGAAAAATCCCAATGAGACAGAATAAAACAAGTTAAATAAAAACTCTTCAGTTATTTCATATCGGTGTTCAAACTTCAGCAAATAACCACTGAAACAAAGAGCAGATGTAAAGCTGCAAACACTGGGACTATATCATCCAGTCACATGCACACGTTACCTTTGGAGGTGGTGAAAGAGGACGAGAAGAACCTGTGGCTCCTCAAACATTCATGCAAAGAGCAGCGGCAGCAACTCGGAGCAAAACTTAGAGAATCCAGAGGAGCAGCGTGCAGCAGCACATCAGACACTGTGTTCGCCCATTGAGCTCTCAGACCTCTCTCATTCTCTCTCTCCCTCCCTTGTTGTCCCTCTGACTCGCAACCACACACACACACGGACACACATGCAGCGCTCAGAGACGCACAGCCGTGCAGGCATATGCACAGATGGATGCATGGATGCATGTACTTAGACAGGAGATAATGAAGAAACATTATACAGGCACAGACCTGCACATCACAGTGTTACGTCTGGCTCGATGCAGTAATAATACAAACAGGAACAATGAACTGCAGCACGGCGTGGACTCACTGAGCTCCTCACAGCACACTCTGCAGCCCGGGGCAGTCCTGCCTCCGGTGATGCCGTCTACGATGGGGCTCTGGTTGGTGGTGCCGTCTACGTTGGGGCTCTAAGTCAGGGTGCTGTCTACGGTGGGGCTCTGGGTTACGGTATCGTCTACAGTGGGGCTCTGGGTCACGATGCCATCTATGTTGGGGTTCTAGATCGGGGTGTTGTCTACGATGGGGCTCTGAGCCACGGTACCATCTACGGTGGGGCTCTAGGTCAGGGTGTTGTCTACGGTGGGGCTCTGGGTCACGGTATTGTCTACGATGGGGCTCTGAGCCACGGTACCATCTACGGTGGGGCTCTAGGTCAGGGTGTTGTCTACGGTGGGGCTCTGGGTCAGGGTGTTGTCTACGATGGGGCTCTGAGCCACGGTACCATCTACGGTGGGGCTCTGAGCCACGGTACCGTCTACGGTGGGGCTCTGGGTCAGGGTGTTGTCTACGGTGGGGCTCTGGGTCACGGTACCATCTACGGTGGGGCTCTGGGTCACGGTACCGTCTCCAGTGGGGTTCTGGGTCGCAGCACTACTCGCTGTTGTCTCGGGGCCACGGACTCTGCTGCTTCCTACACTCACTTGTTTTTGGTCCTCATCGCTGTCTCCTGTCAATCTTTGATCTCTTCTCACACGTTTCTTCTCTAATTCATCTTCTTCATGCTCGCCTGCTCTGGAGACATCAGGGTGTTGCTGCTTTGACCCCTGGTGCCCACACGTCTGACTCCTGATCTAGATGCTTGACCAGCTGCTCAGTGAGCCTTTAGCTGTGACGTCCAGAATATATTCATTTGTCAAACAACAGTTGAAACACTCATGTTTAACTCCTCTAGATGCTGCCATGTGTTCCAGAGATCTGGAGATCTCTGAACTCTCCTGCAGTCTCCGACAGATTGCTGCTCGGTGCTGACCTGCTGTGGGAGGACTGCCTGGAACCACGCTGGACTCCTCCACGTTATTGCTGCAATTTTAGCATTTTGTCTGCTTGAGCAAAAGTTCAAAAATGTAAGTTAGTGTTTTATTTACAAGATAAGGCTGCAACAAATTGTCACATTGCAGAGAAAAGGTTAGTTTTCCAGAAAGTGAACAACTAGAGAAAGCTGTGTTTAGCCGCCCACATGCTGCTGTATCTGTTCATCGAGCACGAGTGGAAGAAATGTTCAGAAGGGCCAACACAGCAACATAAGTGCTAAAGAACCCTACTCAAAATGCAGAACTTTTTTATAAATATATATATAAAAAACGAAAAGTAATAATTCATCAAATGTCCCTTAAGAGTGACAGACGATAAATGTTGATAATCTTTGATCGGTGTATCGGCAGCGTCTCACTGGGACGGCTCTGACAAAGGAAGAAAAAACTACGTCCTGATTCATATTTATTTAGTGAAATATTAATCACTTCACCCCTTTTGGGCCTCAGTTATTCAAACAGCCGTCAGTGAGATTAGATCTTTGGTGGAACGTGAAGAAGTCAGAGGCTTCTACATCTGACAACTGTTCTCAATTAGACGTTTTTTTTATTTTTTTTTATGGGGGAACCAGAACAAAAAGGGAACCACTGGATTCATCTTTAACAACACACAGTGTTTTATGCTTTTCTGTAAAAGCGTAGCTGTCATTTTAGTGAACTGCTCTGTTCTATCCAGACAGTAACAAAGCAAATATAAAAAGTGACATGAATTGTAAATAAATCAGAATGCACACAGATCCAGTGCTTGACTGAACTGCTCAGTTGTCCACATGCGGTCTAGACGGACACAAACCCCTCCTCACACAGACCCGGTTGCCTAAACTGTACTTGTTGTTGCTTAGTTGAGTTCTGACAGTCGTGTTGTCAACGAGACATGTTAACGGAGTGACTGAACCATATTTCATAACGCAGTTCAACAGTGTCCCTGGTGAACTGTAAACCAGCTCAGGAGCATGTTTTCCTGAGCTCCCAGAGATCCCAGAGGCTGCTGCTCAGCGTACCTTTACCCTAAAACAACTCAAAGCTTTGGGCTCTGCGCCAGCGTCAGTAATCACAGAACAGTCCGGGCTGCAGCCGTCAGGAACGGCTGAGTAAAAATAATGTGCTTATCGGAGTCTGCTTTGGCAACTCTCAGGGGGTTTCCTGAATGATTGTGGACTCTTAACAGTTGTAGACTTTCTGCACTATTAGCCAGCTTTCCTTCTCTGTTAGATTGTGATCTGTATGGAACATAGGTACCAGAAGACTAAACACTGATGAATTCAAAATATGAAGGCCAGAGAATGTGTCCAACGTCCACCTTCCCTCCAGGGTTAGGGTTAGCAACGGTTACCCCTGACCTGACTCTCCACCGACCCTCCAGGGTTAGGGTTAGAACGGT